CTCCCCTTCTCAAAAATCAGTCACCTCAAAGTGCAAGAAAAAGCATAAAGAGAAAATATTATGGAGGAAATCAATTCAGCAACAAGAAATCAGTACAACAAATACTGATCACAACTTCTAATTGCTGCCCTAGAGCTTTTAGTGTAATAATTCAATACCCTCTAAGCCAGTGGTTCTCAACCTGTGGGTCGTGACTCCTTTGGGGGGTCGAACGACCCTTTCACAGGGGTCACCTAAGACCATCGGAAAACACATATTTCCAATGGTCTTAGGAACCGAGACACCGTCTCCAGGCGGATAAAAACAACACAGAGAATGGTAAGACTTAAAGCATCAAAGGAGCAACTCCCCGCCTCTCAGGTAGAGTTAGCAAAAGCCAACGACTCAGCCCGCCTTCTACCAGCCTTTTCACCAATCAGAAGCCGCAGCACAGACATTGGCGTCCGTGACGTATCTTCCCGGGGAATCTGTGAAGCCGGCGGAGCTGCTCCAGATCGCGCTTGCGTGCAGTTGCTTGCGCCTCTGTGGAAGAGAGGAGACGGGCTGGTGGGGAGTTGAGGGGGGCTGAGGCAGGAGGAGGAGGAAGGAGGAAGGAGGGAGGGAGGGAAGGAAGGGTTGTTAGCTGTGGAATCAGCACGCCGGAGGGCTTTGCCGTGGGGTGGGTTCCATTTGTATTTTGATTCCCTCCCTTTTGGAGGGAGGAATGGACATTTTATGATCTGGGGGGAAAAAAATCTGGTATCTGTGAATAAAAGCGCCGACGATCATCTTTTCTTTCCGCCAGCTCACCTTGATGCATTCAGTGCAATTGCTTTTTTAAATAGCACTTTTGGATTGTATTTTTTTTAATCTTAGCTTTTTAAAAAAAAACTGGGGTTGGTCTCTGCCCTTGCGTGGGGGGGTTGCAAGCACCTTAATTGAGTCTCTCCACCCCCATCTGTGGGATTTTCCTCGGGGTTGCTAGGAGCTGCGCTTAAACTCGGAATTGCCCGGCTGCAAGTGAAGAGAAGGGAGTTGGCGCGGGCGAGAAAGCCAGCAAGCCAGCCTGCCTGCCTGCCAGCCCAAATTGCGAGCTTTCCTTCGCCTTTTTCGTCGTGAATCGGGAGCAAGCCAACCTCGGGATTTTCCCTCCTCCCACCTTTAAATGGCTTCCTTTTATTCTGCCTCCTGCCTGGTCAGGATCCAAAGGCGAGGCTCCGATTGGGGAAGTGTATACTCCACTGCCAGAAATTGTTAGGAAAAAGGAAATGCATTGAGAGAGGGACTTGTCAGAAAACATTTAGATGAGAATCAAGTACGCTCAGTGGAAGGTGAAAATGTTGGAAGGAGGGAATGAAATAGCTGGAATTTGGGACAGCTGTAAAGTCGTACCCTTCTGTTTTGGGAAACTTCCATGAAAAAGTAGTCATGTAACCCCTCACTTCATCCACAAAATGTTATAGGGGTTCTGATTTTTTATTTATAACCCTTTTCCTTTCTTCCATTCTCTTGCTGCTTTTCCTTCAATTGGTTATGTGATCAAAATGTGGATGCTTGGCAACTGGCCTGTATTTATGGTGGTTGCAGTGTCCCAGGGTCATGTGATTATTTTTAGCAATCTTTTGACAAACAAAGTCAATGGGGAAGCCAGATTCATTTAACAACTGTGTTCCTAACTTAATAACTGCAGTGATTCACTTAACAACTGCAGCAAGAAAGGTCATAAAATGGGTGCAACTCACTTAACAACTGCCTTGCTTAGCAACAGAAATGTTGGGCTCAGTCGTGGTCATAAGTTGAGGACTACCTATAGTTGTGGAATTCCTTTTGTTGGATGGTTCTATCTTCTGGAGTCTAGAGTCTGATCCTGCATATCAGATATTTACATTACGATTCATAACAGTAGCAAAATTACAGTTATGAAGTAGCAACGAAAATACTTTTATGGTTGGGGGTCACCACAACATGAGGAACTGTATTAAAGGGTCACGGCATTAGGAAGGTTGAGAACCACTGCTCTAAGCCATGGGTGTCAAACTCGCCACGTCACATGATGTGTCGCGACGTATCACAACTTTTTTTGTATTGCCGGAGCTGGGGTGGGGCATGGCCTCCACATGATGCAACCGTCCCATGGGCTGGCAGTTTGAAACCCCTGCTCTAAGCTTTTGGGGAAATTTAAAATACAGCAAGCTTTCCAAGCTCAGTCATTCTACAGATAGAGACCAGAAGGGATGGTGTGGTTCTGTCATGGCAGCTGGAGTCCATAGTGCTGAATCCTAATGGCCCACCAAGTCCAAAATGCTACTGTATATCTAATGGGCAATCAAATGGATTTAGGAAAATGCACAATCATGGCTAATAGCCTTCTCATGTTCCAAACAACTGGCATTTAAGTGCCGTCCTCAGGGTGCCGTCGGCCAGACAGTGCCGGCTGGCGACCCCAAGGGGGAGGGCCTTCTCTGTGGGAGCTCCCACCCTCTGGAATGAGCTGCCCCCAGAGATCAGGGTGATCCCTGATCTCCCTTCCTTCCGCCGCGCCCTTAAGACATGGCTATTCCAACAAGCGGGACTGGCCTAGGGCAATTTTTAGAGGGGTTT